GATTTTGTACCCTGAGACTTTGCTGAATTTATTCATCAATTCCAGGGATCTCTTGGTGGAATCTTTCAGGGTTTCTAGATATAAGATCATATGGTCAGCAAAAAGCGATAGTTTGACCTCCTCTTTCCTGATTTGGATACCCTAAATTTCTTTCTCTTGCCTGATTGCTCTGGCTGTGTTGAATAGAAGTGGTGACAGTGGGCACCCTTGTCTTGTGCCAGTTTGTTAGTGGCAACGCTTTCAGCTTTAGCCCATTCAATATCATGTTGGCTGTGGGTTTGTCATGTATGGCTTTTATAAGTTTGAGATACGTTCTTTCTGTGCCTGGTTTGTTGAGGGTTTTTATCACGTAAGGGTGCTAAATTTTGTTGAATGCTTTTTCTGCATTTATTGAGATGATCATACTAAAATCTTTGTTTTTGCTTCTGTTTATGTGGTGGGTCACATTTATCGATTTATGTATGTTGAACCATCCTTGCATCCCTAGGATGAAGCCTACTTGGTTATGGTGGATTATTTTTTTGATGTGCTGTTGAATTTGGTTTGCTAGTATTTTATTGAGGATTTTCACATCTATATTAATAAGGGATATTGGTCTGTAGTTTTCTTTTTTTGTATTGTCCTTTTCTGGCTTTGGTATCAAGGTGATACTGGCTTCATAGAATGAATTGAGGATGATTCCCTCTTTCTTGATGTTATGAAATAATTTCTACCAGATAGGTACCAATTCTTTTTTGTAGGTCTGATAAAATTTGGCTGTGAATCCATCTGGTCTGGGGCTTTTTTTTTGTTGGAAGATTTTTTTTATTGCTGCTTCAATCTTGTTGCTAGTTATTGGTCTGTTCAGGAATTCTGTTTCTTCCTGATTGAGTGTTGGGAGGTTGTGTGAGTCCAGGAATTTTTTCCATTTCCTCGATATGTTTTTGAACTTATGTGCATAGAGATTTTCACAGTATTCACAGATGGTATTTTGTATTTCTTCAGTATCAGTTGTAATATTTCCTTTCTCATTTCTGATTGAACTTATTTGGGTCCTTTCTCTCCTATCCTGGCTAATCTTGTAGGAGGTCTATCTATTTTGTTTATCTTTTGAAAGAACAAATTTTTGTTTCGTTGATCTTCTGTATTATTTTCTTGTTTTCGATTTCATTTAGTTCTGCTCTGACCTTAGTTATTTCTTTTCTTCTGCTGGCTTTGGGTTGGTTTGTTCTTCCTTTTCTGGTTTCTTGAGACATGTCATTAGATTGGGAATTTGTAATCTTTTTGTCTTTTTGTTATATGCATTTAAGTTTATGAATTTTCCCCTTAGGACTGCTTTTGCTGAATCCGCAGATTTTGATAACTCATGTCTCCTTTGTCATTCAATTCAAGGAGTCTTTTAACTTCTGTCTTAATTTCATCATTGATTCAATAATCAGCAGGAGGTTGTTTCATTTCCATGACTTTGTATAATATTGGGTGTTTCTTTTGGTGTTGATTTCTAGTTTTATTCCACTGTGATCTGAGAAGATACGTGGTATGATTTCATTTTTTTTTTCAATTTGTGGAGCCATGATCTGTGGCATAAAATATAATCAGTCTTGGAGAATGTTCCATGTTTTGATGAGAAGACTGTATAATCAGCAGTTTGGGGGTAAAATGTTCTGTAAATGTCTGTTAGGCCTATTTATTCTAGAATCCCATTTACATCCAGTGTTTATTTATTTTCTACTTGGATGATCTGTCTAGGTCTGTCAGCGGGGTGTTGAAGTCCCCAGCTATTAGGATGCTGCTGTTTATCTCTTTGCTTAGATCTAGGAAGGTTTGCTTTATGAATCTGGTTGTTCCTGTGTTAGGTGCATAAATATTTAGGATTGTTATGTCTTCTTGTTGAATTGCTCCCTTTACCATTTTATAATGATCATCTTCATCTTTCTTTACTGTTGTTGTTTTAAAGTCAGTTTTATCTGATAAGAAAATGGCTATATCTGCTTTCTTTTTGTTTCCATTTGCATGGAATATTTTTTCTCCATCCCTTCACTCTGAGTATGTGTGTCCTTGTGGGTTAGATGTGTTTGCTGGAGACAGCAGAAACTTGGTTTGTATTTTTTTTTATCCTTTCAGCTAACCTGTGTCTCTTGAGTGGGCAATTCAGACCATTCATGTTGATTGATAGAATTGACATATGGGATGCTGTCCTGTTCATCCTGTTGGGTAGTACTTTATTGCTTTGTTTTTCCTTTTTTACTATTGTTTTGTATGAACTCTGATCTTTGGCTTTTGAGTGGCTTTACTCTGGTGGGTGACTATTGTGCTGATCCACGTATAATGCAGTTTTGAGTATTTCCTGCAGGGCAGATCTGGTCTTCACAATACATTCAAGTTTGAGAACGACTGCACTAAAATAACCACCTATTTCTGCAATTCTAGAAATTAATTTCCCAAATTTTAACACATCTGAAATTGTGATACCTCTTATAACACTTTTGTATGTTTAATTTGAGGATCCTTTTCTTGTTCACTCCAAAATGCTGTCATTAAGTTTATGGTACATCTTATAATCGATGGTATCTTAGAAAGGAGATGTGGCCGGGCACGGTGGCTCACACCTGTAATCCTAGCACTCTGGGAGGCTGAGGCAGGTGGATGGTTTGAGCTCAGGAGTTTGAGACCAGCCTGAGCAAGAGTGAGACCCTGTTTCTACTAAAAAAAAAAAATGGAAAGAAATTATCTGAACAACTAAAAATATATAGAAAAAATTAGCCAGGCATGGTGGCGCATGCCTGTAGTCCCAGCTACTGAGGAGGCTGAGGCAGTAGGGTCACTTGAGCCCAGGAGTTTGAGGTTGCTGTGAGCTAGGCTAACGCCACGGCACTCACTCTAGCCAGGGCAGCAGAGTGAGACTCTGTCTCAAAAAAAAAAAAAAAAAACAGGAAGAAGGAGATGTGCTATATGAAATATAATAGCTTACTTACAAACAGTGAAATATAAAGAATATATAGTAGATGGTGATAACCCTTAACTAGTGATTTGCTGATTTGTTGTTTGTTTCTTTGTTATTCACATCTGCATCCTCTTCTGGCAGTGAACTAGCCTCCATGCTATTTGCCTTGAGATATCTGCCTCTTGTTTTAGGCTACTTGTTTCTACATGCTTTCTCAACATGCTGTCTCTAATCTTTGAATCTTTAATCAATTGGTTTTTTCATAAAGTTTTTCTTTTTTCCAATATGCTCTGAAATTGCTGGCTCTGGTGTTACAAACCTTCAGCTCTAACCTTAAGACAGTGTCTTTTTGTTTCACTGGTTGTTGTCATTTCCTTTGCAGTTTCACTCTGGTGGCAATGATAGGCTTAAAATGCTTTTGGCAAGAGATGCTTTCCAATTCGGAGTCATTGCTGAAAACAGATCTCCCATTCATATAGTACTTTTCTCTCTTTCTCTCTCTCTCTCTGTCTCTCTTTCTCCTTTCACTCCCTCCCTCACTTTTACCCTCTCCATCTCTTTTTCCCTCTCTCATTCCTCACCGTCCTCCACATTCACCAACCAAAATCTCTGAAATAGCTCGGAGGTTTACTGTGGAAGATGAAATAAAGGAGAAATTGAAGGTGTATTTTTAAAGTGAGAAATGATGAGAACTATAAGAATCATAAGAACCCTGGGAATGTGTAATGCCACTGGGAAAACAGGAAAACAGATCTGAGAGATATTTCTGAAGTACTGTAGAATTAGTGACTGAATAAATTTGTAATTGTTTCTGTGTATTTGTTTGTTTTACTCTTTTAATTTTTACCATCATCTCCATTATAATCAAAGCTTCATAGGCCTGGGTTCACTATTATATCCCGACTGCCTAGCTCAGTTTCTTGCACAAAGTAGGCATTTATTAAATATTTTCCAATAACTGAATTATTCAATATGTGGGAAGATTAGTGAAGAAGAATAAAATGTCAGATATGTAATTTTTAACATGATCCTAAATTCTCATCCATGTATCCAGTGACAAACCCTAACTAATAATCAATGTTCACCTGAGAGACCTTGCTTAAATATTTATTTTAAAAATCCTAGGGCTTTTAGTTCATGACAACTTCAACATTAGTCAATAATGTGATACAGTTGCAGAAATGACATTAGGTTATATTTCTAAACACTCCTATTTAGTTCAAGGAAGATAGTGATTTTATTGTGCTTGACTGTTTACTGACTGATATGAACCCCATACTCGGAGAGTGGCACCAACAAATTTATGTATTCCAAAGATGACAACCAAAATAGAGGCCATGTAGTTTAAGAGTGGCTCAATTGCTTCAAAAGGGCTAGACAAGGACAAAAGTGTCGTAGAGACTGTCTGTAGCAGGATTCAAGAGACTGGATATGAGACCCAGTTTTGAGTAATTCCATGGCCTTCGGCAAATCGGTTCTCTTTTGGCACCACTTACCTATTCTATAAAGAAAGGGGTAAGTTTTCATTTTCTCTAAGCTTTCTAATTATTCTTTTGAATACAGCCCTTAACTGTGTTCAAGAATCTTAACATTTCAGTGTTATTCACGAACATGAGAATTTATCCTCAAATAGTAAAGAGCTATTTATATATAAAACAATGCAGTTAGTTTTGTTTTACAAGATAGCATTAGTCCTAACAGGTGGGATTTATAAGAGGGAGATTACAGTTCATTCTGTGGGGTAATTTTTTAACCATTACATTAGTGCAATATGAAAAAGATTTATTATGCAAAGTAGTGACGTTGTCATCGCTGTCAAGGATATCACGTGGGGAAAGTATTCAACAGGTTAGAGGTTTAACCATCCAACTCTAGGATTTTCTGCTTCTCTTCTCTTAGGTAGTCCCAAGGCATGTCCTCATACAAGCCCAGTGTTCTAGCAAGCTTCTATGCCAATGTTTTGAATTGAATGAATGATTGTCTTTTATCGTGAAATAAGGAGGGTGGGAAGAAGCATGGAGCATCAAAACTTCTTCTCTTTGATTCGCTCTATCACGTTCAGCAGGTTCAAGGTCAGCTGCCGCCATTAATGATTCCTGTATTCCCTCCTGATCAACGGACACTGGCTGCAGCTGCCCAGCAAGGATTCCTCCTTCCTCCAGGCTTCAGCTATAAGGCTGGATGTAGTAAGTACCATTGATTTTTCATTTGGGAGTGGGTGGAGGGCACAGCTTTAAATTAGGCAGTTTAATGTTACTGCCACACCAAGAAATGAGATCACCCATATAGCATTTTTATTTTGAAGAGGAAACACACAGAAGATGTGGAAAAGTGTTTGTGTTGGTATTTAAAAGACCTTAGATTATTTCTATGCGTCTGAAGCCAGTATTTGCTCTTTGTAATTCAGTTTAATAACATCCATTTCCAGTGTATTCTTAAAATATGAATGTAATTTGGGGGTTCATTTTATTTTTTGCATAGATGACATAGGAATATGCTTTTCAATAGCTTTTCATTGCCCAGTAAGACAAATCCAAATTTCCTAGTGTGAATTAGTTGGCCTTCTGTTATTTGTCTCCTCCCTATATTTATAGCCTAATTTCTTACTAGTTTTTTTTGTTCTTAGACTAAAAAATCCTCTTTCTTGACTATGGACTTGTATCTCAGGATTCACTCTCCTTGGTATTGTGAATCTCTTCCACCTCAGATTAGGGAGCACTTGCCTGACCTAGGTTAGGTTTCTTTCTCGTGCTTTCTTTGGATTCTGAATATTTTTTTGTTCACCTTAATTGTAAGCTTTGTGAAGGCAGTTGCTGATTCTATCCTATCACTGTTATATCTCAACTTTTACTACAACATTGAACATTTTTAAATGAATGAATGAATGAATGAACGAATACTCAATACAAGCGGTGTAAAGGACGTATTTTGTACTAAGTGATAAGTTACAGCAAGATAACTGCTTATTTTGCTTATTAACTTTGGACACCTCTGATTTTATGTTTTTTTCTCTTTTATACCCAAATCTAAGTTGCACATTGTTAGTTTTGGAAACAAACTAGTAGTTTATTGTTAAAAATTTAAATGGTCAAAATGCCAGCTGTATTCTATAAGGTAAAAATAGTAACTCATATTCCAAAGAGGGGCTAGACTGCTAAACTAAATATCTTCTGGAACATCATTACCATGGCCAGAAGCAGTGTAGAAAAAATAAAAGTAGAACACTATTTAAAAAATTAGTGAAATATTATTTTAGATATTCATATAAAATATCTTTAAATTCCAGTAGATTCTGGCTTATATATATTTTAATAAATAGTCCCATTAACATTTTGATATGCTTTAGTATTTATTGCATTTGAGAAACTCTAACATTACTAGAAATCAGTTCTTAGTGTCCTAACAGGTGATGTCTTGAATTTTCACATTGGGGATTTTAGCATTTATTCTTAGTCTTTAAGTCTCTATATCATATTGAAGAAATGGACTGTAATTTCTTAAATATAGCCATTTGAGATGAGTAGCTTGCAACTCTGGAGATCAGATAAAAGTGATATGAACTCAGGACTATAAAAATTCATACTCATATGTACTTGCTCTTTGAAATTTTTATATTTCTTTTGTAAATCTTTCTCTTGAGTTTGGTGTCCTATAGTTTCCTATGTTCCTATGTGTTCTCACTCTGGACCCTTAATTTATTCATTCGGTATTATTTTCCATATCATTTTGACCTTTGTAGGTCATCAATTCATCCAGATACACCAACTCTTTTTTATAATTAATGACTATATTTATTCTAAATATTTTAAATTCTAAGAATAGAATTTTAAATTCTATTGCTACACTAAATTCTGAGTTTTTAATCATAAAAGATTTTTTGTTTTGTTTCCATTTTCCTAAAGAATCACTTTTCACATTAAACACATGTTGACAATGTGTTTTTGGTGATCTTAGTAAAGTTACTAAAATAAAAAAAAGAGAGACTTTTAAAAACCATTGGTTGCCTCAAACTGTACTTGCAATATATAAGTATAGACTAGTTCTGTTTTCCAAAAAAATAAAAAAGTTGTTTGAAGCAACTGCTTCAAAAAATAAGAAATAAGTCCTATTAGCGAATACTGTGCTGAAGAGAAAACCACACTGAGTATGAACAGCATAACTGTAGGCCTGGAAAAGGTCAAGAACACCTCTGCCTCACTCCCGTTTGACAAAGTTGGCATACTAAATCTGTTCAGTGTTAATGCAATGTGGCATGGAGAAATCTTTCCCTTTCCAAAATTGTTAGTATATTAACCATTTGATATTCATACCTTCAGTGCTTAAAGTTAAAAATGATACCACTTCTTTTGTAACCTTGAAAATAAAATAGAATAAAGCTTTATAGCTGCTGGCAAGCTTGAAACTGACATCATGCCAAACTCTGGAACTAAGCAGAAGCCAGTAGCAAAAGAAAGTGCCACCCTTGTTGACACTCTGGCACACTGAGTCAGTTTGAATGAAGAGCTGTGTGGAAGTGATAAATAGTCCAGACTATTTCTCCTTAATCACATTTCAGGAAAGGAATAGAGGGAGGAGAAGAAATCTTGCCAATTCCTCTCTTCAGTGGGACTTCCTATTTTATTCCCCTTGTAATTGTCAATAATTTGTGACTTTTCTGGTTGCCGATTGTTTTAATTTAAGTGATATTACTTAGTTCTCAATGAAAGAGACTGACCAACCCATCTTGATTTTAATTTCAAGTAAACATGAAAGATACATTATTTGTTGCAATAAAAAATCCAGATGTTTTTCATCAATCCATTCATAGAACATACTGATACAGTTTCCTGTTTAGTCTATATTTCTTGATAAAGTACATAAAAAGTAAAAAAATTCTCTGGAACTAAACCAGAAACTTTAAATGTTCTTGAAAGGGGAAATAATAAAATAAAAATATAGGTTGAGAAGCCTAACCATTGTAGATTGAGTTAATATCCCCTGTTTTCTGAGAAAGAAGCTTTTAATTGGACACAAAGATATTTTCTCTTTAAGAAATATAATGGTGGAAATATGGCATGGAATGGCAACACACAAAATGTAGTTGCTGGACCCCTATTAAGTGCTAGAATGCACATGATTAAGCCATACAAGAATAAATTCATAGCAGCACAGCCAGAGAGTTCAGAGCAAACAGACTAGATAGAAAAGGAGCTTTGGAGAATATTATAGTCCACTCTTATGCACGAGTATATAAATGAGTTTACAGATATTGATATATTATTACTAGAATCTCAGATTCTGTTTTGGCATTTGGTATTAATGAAATCAAGCATGAAACCACACGTCTTCCTGGATCCATATTTAGTTATTGCTTTTCCTACTTATTTCTTAAAACATAAAAATATTTGCAAACTTCTAAGGAGGTAAAAATAATTGTATATTATTAAATTGAATCCTTTTGAGATATATATATATATAAAATAAACAGAAAACTTGAAAATAATTATGTAAAAACACTGGTTTAATCAGCCAACTTCATTCAGACATCAATTCATTCAGGAAAAAAAATAGTCCAGTAATCTCTATTTTTAACTTGTCAGTTGTGCTAAAACTGTCTTCCAGGTTGCTATATGTAAACACACCCCAGATTTTATAACACATAATTAAAAATCCCAATTCTAAATTATATTTGTGGATAATAACTCATTTTAATCAAATAATAATCATTATAGCCTTTAAATAAGTTTGAGGGACTAAATAACTGTGGCTTAAATTCTGAATTGTAAAATAACTGAGTGTACAAATGAATTGGTTCAAGAACACATTGGATGGTTGAAGAGTCAGGAAAACAGTCCATTTGCCTCTGCTGGAAAGTCTGAGTCGTATCCTAACCTATTAATCAAAGACTTCAACATGTGAGCTGTGAAGTTTGTGTCAGGTACATATTTTTTAAATAAAATTTAAATGCCTTCGACACCTGCAGAACAACTTTATGTTTTCAGAAAGATAGCGCTTTTGTGTTTGCTCATATTAGAAAAAAATTCTACTTATGAAGGAAAATTATTTTGAATGTGTGATTGGTGTTAGCTCAGCAATTTAGATTTGAGAGAAACTTTTGAGATAAGGTGGTTGAAGGGAGTAAGTTTGGTCAGTAGCACTTTGACTCACACTCCAGTCCTCTTTGCACAACACACAGCTTCCTCGGGTTCACTGCTGTTCCTGCGGAGTACTTATTTTAGAGGCAGAAATGAGAGATGGAGATGCTTCTCTTACTGCTAATGACTGCAGTCCTCTGCCCGCTCCTTGCTGTTTGGGTGTAAAATTTCCAGTCATATAATTGTAATAGTTAGATGCTTTAGAAATTTTGACAGAAAGACATTTTATGTGGAAATTAAAAAATCTGCAGGAATGGCAAAATCCAATAAAATAACCCATTTTCTATATACAGTATAAAACAAACGGTTGTAAAAGAACTGGCTTGATAGTTTAGCCCAAAGTGTCAAATTGGATGTGTCATATAGCGATAGGTACAGAGTCTTTCCCCACCGTCAAGCATGTGCCTAGTGCCATTGTTCTCAAACTGCAAGGTTCCCAGGATGCTTAGCTAAGTCATAGGGGCAAACAGGATATTTTAAAATTTCAAGGAAAATATACAGGCATCAATCAGATACTATGTAAACTACCATAGATAAGTTGTTTGATCTTTACTACTTAATAAAATTGAGTGGTTGGATATTTCTTTTGTCTAAAAGGTACAATGAAAAAATTATTGAACCACTGATGGTGCCTTAACCCAAAACAGTTTGGGAACTTTTGGCCTACTCTAGTGTATATCCATTTTAAAAATTACTGTGACCTTTTCTAACCTGAAAGTTGTTTTTCTCACTTGAAAGTTACTCTTGTCCTATCATATTGCCAACCACAGAACAGAATATTATAACAAAATTTAATTTGTACTTATAGAGCTATGTATATTATGAAGATAATTAATTCATGTGTCTATACCAATTGATATATACCAATTGATTTGTCTATATGATTTCAAGCATTCGATTTTTGTTTGTTTTAATTTAATTAACCCAATTTCAAATAGGCAACTACAAATGGAGAGGTACTTAAAATGAGACAGCCTGGACTTGGAATCAGGTTTTGCCTCATTTTACTCTTTGTCCTTATGCAAGCTACTGAGTTTCAGTTTCCTCGTCTT